CCTGGGTGTCCCTCGGGACTGCGTGTGGCCTCGCGCGGGCAAGGGCACCACACAGAGCCTCATGCGCCCCTCTTCTGCTCCCCCTGCCTCCGCCACGGGCCTCCTGGAGAGTACTCTAAGGCCAGCCGTGGCGGCTTCATCGCAGCTCCGGGCGGCCCGGCTAGGGCGCAGCTCACGGGCGCCATGGCCAGCGAGGTCCGTGCTGCCTTCCTGGAGGGTGACGCACCTGGTTATCCATCGTGTCTTCGATTTAATAACCTGTGGTAGCTGCAAAGCGGAGAGAGACAGACGAGCCTTTCACTGTTTCTGGGAAGTCAGCCTTTTGTTCACGTCCCTTAACAAATGCCCCCACAAGAAGACACTATTTTAAGTAGATTTTTACTCCTCCAAATCTGTTTTGGGGAGGTGAGTTCTTTTTAATTTTACAAATAGGAGCCTGGGGGGCGTAAGTAGGAGCTCGCGCTGGACGCAGTCTGTCGGGGTCTGTCTGTTAATGTCACGTTAAATTGCTGAATTCACTCGTGCCGTCTGACCTCCCAGTGTGTGGCCAGCAGAGTAAGAGCCTCTGAAACCCGCTGGGGCCCTGGACTGGGCCCCTCCGGTGGTGAAGGGCTCTGTAGGTGGTGTTGGGCGGAGGCCTGAGGTGGGGGTCCTGGATTCCCGGGCCAATGTCCTCCCGAGGTCCTTACAGTGGGAGAAGGGCCCAGGGGTGGCTGTGAAGACGGAGGAAGGGCCTGAGCCCAGGACGGTGCCTCTAGAGGCTGCACAGGCAGGAGACGGTCCCCTGGGGCCTTGGAGGCGCAGCCTGCCAGGGGCTTAGCTGCCGGAGGCTGTCTGACTTCTTGGCCTCCAGGACTGAGCTCAGTGGGGGGGGGGTCTGAGGAGGGCCCCCGACTGCAGCCGCAGGGCGGAGCGCGTGGCCTGCTGACAGCTGCACCCGGTGGCCCCGGAGATGACTGCGGTCCTGTCTGCGCGTGACGGCTGGCCCCCCACAGAGGAATGTCTGTCTTTGGGGCAGCAGCCTGCTGAGATGAAGGGACCCCCACTTCTAGGGAGAGGGACAGTGCTGTTTGTACAGAGCAGGTCTCTGTAGGTATGTGCTGTTGTGTGAATCCTTTGAAAACGTTCAGGCAGCTTTGCACTAGCAAATGGTGGTGACCGGCTGCTTCCTTCCCAGGTGCGACATTGTGTGACAGGCGGGGCTCCTTGTCCCAGACCCACCGGGGACGGCTCTGACGTGGTCGGCGTCACCGTGTCCTTTCAGCCCGGCCTCACTCAGTAGGGACCCTCCATCATCTCCACGGCCCATCTCACCACTGCTCTGGGCAGGCTCCACCCCCCGGTCTGGGAGCTCAGCCCCCCAGACCCCCACCGAGCTCCCGGAGGGAGCATGCCCAGCGGGGAGGTATTAGCCCTCACTTCCAAGGGGTGCGGTCAGGATTCACCAGGAAACCAGCTCCCAGGAGCCCCGCGTTAGGTCTGGTCTTCCTTCGAGGCGCCCACGTCTGGCGCCCACGGGCTCAGGGCAGCTTCACTCAGAGAAGGGGAGGCCAGGAGCCCCTGGGGGACTTGTTCGGCTTTAGTGCTCTCTCAGGGGACCCGATCACAGGTACACCAGGCAGGAGGCTGGCATGCAAGGCCCAGTGTGGGGCAGAGGCTGAGGCTCCCAGCCCCACAGCTCTGTGCTTCTCCGACTCCTCTGGTGTCCTCGCGTGGTCTGGCCGCCCCTGGCGTCCCGCGTCCTGCGGCCGTCCAGTCCCTGCGTGACGCTGCCCTCAGCCCGCCCTCCAAGCTCAGGCATGTGCACCACGCCCCAGGTGTGCACAATCAGGCACCATACCCCGTGCCCACGCGCTCAAGCACCTGCTGCATCGACGCGCTCAAGGCCGCAGGCAGCAGCCACGGAGGCCAGTGGCATAAGAAGCCTGATGTGTTCCATGTGCCCTGCACCACGGCACAGCGGAAAGCCAGAGCCGCCGGGCAGCGAGTTACAGGGCTCGCCCAGGCCCACTGCTAACTGCCCGGTGCCCTGCGCCCCCAGCGCTGTCCCCGTTTCACGGCGGTGCTCCAGGAGCCACTCCCGTGCCAGCGCCAGGATGCACAGGACCCCAGGAATCGACCGGTGCCCGAGGGCCAGGCTCTGCCGGAGCAGTGCGGCCAGAGCACAGGGTGCCCCGGGCCCAGGGACGGCCCTCTCATGGCTTGGCCTTGAGCCACCGGAGGCTAACAGGCCTTGCGAGGGGTCTCCGCAAAGGGGGCACAGTGTCCTGGGACTGGACAGTGGCCTGTGAATGTCCTGACAGCCCCTGAAGGCCCCAGTTTGTTTCTTGCCTGGCACTGGGCTCCTTCTGGCTTGGTCACTGGGCTCAGGTCTGTGCTAGCTGGTGGCACCGGAGGCGGCATCCAAGTGAGGCCAGTGGGCCCGGCTGGCGCGGACCCTGCTGTCACTGTCCTGAAATTTGTGCTAATTTTTACTTTTTCTTAAAGAGTTATTTATTCATGCACATAAAAACTGGGGTACCAGGCCAGAGGTGGGGGGATGAGAACTCACCAGAGACAGAGTGGGGAGCAGAACAGGCAGATGCACTGAAACCCACTGCTGAGGGGAGCAGCGAGGGGAGAGAGGAGAAGCTGCAGGGGCTCTGGGCAGCTTCCTAGTGCTACACTTTAGCTTGTTACACCACCAGAGAGGGCCCAAATTTGTCCTGACTTTTGAGTTAGGGGTTCCTTTTGCCTCTGGCTTTGCAAATGCCGCCAGGTCCTTCTGGTGGGTCCCCCCTTCCGGCTCTACTGCTTCAGGGGTGAGTCAGGGGCCCACATAGGACGGCCAGAGCACGGCCCAGAGCCGGCTGGTGTGACTGGAAGCCTGCCACCTTGAGGCCCAGGGACAGAGCTTCAGAGACACGCTCCGTCCACATTGCTGTCTGCTGAAGCCCACTACGGTGCAGCTGGGGAGGGTCTGTGGGGTCACTTCCCCTCTCAAGCCCAAGTTCAAGGACTCAGGCACAGCCACCAGTTGGCCACAAAGGGCTGGAGGCAGGGAGATTTGCACTGGCAGATGTGAGGGCAGAGTGTGGAGCCGTCTTAAAAATGATTCATACACTACTCAGCAACCAAAAAAGATAAACTCGTGCTGTTTGTCGCAGCGTGGATGGCGCTGGCAGGGAACATGCTGAGCGAGGTAAGTCAGGAGGAAGATGAAGCGCGGATGGTGTCACTGACAGGTGGATACAGAGAAGCCAAAGGAAGGGCCAGACAGACAAACCTTGAAAGCTGACCACAGACCTGAGGCATCGAGGAGGTGGGGGTGTGTGAAACAGGAATGGGAGCACACTGGACTTGCAGGCTGCCAGAAGGGGGAGGGGCCGCAAGGAGGGGACGGTGGTGGGGTGAAATAACATAAAATTAATCGTAGAGGTGTAAAGCTACACCCCAAAGCATGTACTGTGATGGAAATCAACATCACCTCACATAAATACAACTGAAAAAAAAAAAAGAGATTTGAAGGGGGAAAATGATTCATAAAGCCTGAGTGTCCAAAGCCGGTCAAAACAGGCCGGTGTCCGACATGTGGTGAGAGGATGAGCCCAGCATGGCTCCCCAAAATGAGAACATCGCTTGGCCACGAAAAGGGGGGCAGCGCTGACATTTGCCACCCCGGGAGGGGCCTGAACACGGGCTCAGGAGAGACGCCAGACACACGAGGCCGCGGGGCTCAGGAACGTCCGGGGAGGGGGAGCCGGGCCAGGAGCCGGGGAGGGGGTGGGAGGCTGCTGGTGGGGGGCTACCTTTAGGGGTGACGGCTGTGGTCGCAGGACTTCATGGGGGTGCTGTACACTCCGAGTGACGCTCTTCCAGTGGGGTCTTGCGTGGCACGGAGCTGTGTGGCATTTCTGTCGTGCCTAAAAGTTGACGCCCAGTTTATCAGACACCGGTTGCGGGTGGGTAATGCGCCCCAGTCATGTCAGGTGCCGCCACGGGGGAGCAGTGAGGCGGCCCCAGGACCCCTCTGTACTGCTTTTGCCTCTTCTTAGGAGTCCGGTTGGAGGCTGAGGAGCGTGAGCAGAGGTGGCCCCTGCAGGGCAGGTGCCGGCCTCTAGGGCCACGGGCACCGAGCGCCTGCGCGCTCCTCTCGTGGCTGCCTCCCTGGTGTGCAGGGCCCCCCCCCAGCTCCTGGGGGGGGGGGTGCCGCTGACACTGCAGGCCCTGCTGGTTTCCTGCCTAGCAGCTGCAGAGCCCCAAAGGGGCTTGGAGCACCCCTGGCGCAGCAGCGCCCCCTGCAGGCCACACGGGATTTCAGTTCTCCGTCTGCCCTCACTGACAAAGAACCCGAATTTGAAGACAGGGACCTGCATTTACTTTTTTGTTTCGTTTTGTCGTTACGGAGTTATTTTTAAAACAAACCATTGCAGAGTAATTGTAGATATTCAGACGAGTTTCAAAGACTGAAACCATTGGGCGAACATGCTGGGCTTGTGAGAACCAGCAGTGGACGGGGCCTTTTGTCAGCTGGCCTTACTCAGCTTCACCGGCTTTCCCCAGACGCCTCCTTTCTGCCTATCCAGGGTGCACTCGGGGCCCCGTCTCCTCGGCACGGGGGACACCTGGTGGCAGGCTGGCTCAGCCTTTCCCTCCCTCCCGGGGGACCGTGAGCCTGCACCTTTTACCAACTGGAACAGGGCGCAGAAGCCCCGGACCTCTTCTGATGCAGATTCTGGACACGTGGGAACTTAGTAGGGGCATGCATTAGGGACGGGTGTTTACCCAGGTCACCTTGGGAGGGATAACATTCATCTGGAACGGCCGTTTCGGCTAACAGCTTCTCAAACTGCACCCCCGCTCGTGAACTGTCCGGCCTGCGCTGTCCCCAGAGTCGGGCAGGGGAGCCAAAGTCAGGGCCCCGAAATGCTTCGCTGGCCGTCTGCCCGCAAGCGTGACTGCTCATTGCAGCTGCCCACCAACTCTCGCTCTTGGAAGTAAAGTGCCACGTTTTCCTTCCAGGAAGCAGACGTCGGTTCCTGGCTTGGAGTGGAGGACAGCAGAGCCTGGGAGCAGGTGAGTGGTGCCACGCTTTCCTCTGGCCTCGCATAAAGCTCGCCCTGGCGTCGGTCCCTCCGAGGCGGAGGTGAGAGGTGGCCTGCCGCCCTGCACACGCCCTGCCCCCTGGACACGGCTCGCCTCCCAGCCCTGCCCCTTTCTCGGGTGGGTCCTGTCCGCCCAGAGTGCAGGGGGTGAGGGGCCTTCAGATCCCCTCAGCAGGGGAGGCTAATACGGCCAAGTGCATCGTGGGCCGTTCAGCTTTGCAGCTCAAGAGCCGCCCTAAGGAGACCTCATGGGTCCTTCTCGCCTGTCCCCTTCTCGTGGACGGCCACAGTCAGTAGCTCAGTGGCTGGATGTGGTAAGTAAAGGCCATCTGTCACTCACCCTGGCGGACCGAGCGACTGCAGTGATCCCAGGAAGATTCTTTTGTAATAAGATGTCGACCTCTTAACTCTTGACTGTCTGTTTAGCTCTGTCTTATTCCCAATGGGCTTTTCAGGGCCCTTTATAATGGGGGAGGAAGGAACAGATAACAAAAATAACAGGTAACCTCTGCTGCATTTTTTTCTTGGTGGAAATTTGTTTAGGACTATATTTCATTTACAATACCTTGGAGGGAGTGTCGATGTCTTTACAATGTTGGAGCTTTGCATCCAGTATGTGGGTATAAAAGAAAAAAGTTAACCCCTTCGAACGTTTTCTGTGTCGACCCCAGAAACACCACCGCACGATTCCATGCAGGTGAAATTTCTAGCGCAAGCAGGTTTGTAGGTGGCTTGTGCTGGACAGAGACTGGGGCAGCGTGGGGAGTGGCTGTGATCACCCCAGGAAGCATCTCTAGCCGCCTCATACAGGGCTCACCCCCTGGGTGAACTAGCCGAAAGGCTCCTTGAGGTGTGCACAGCACAGGTAAAGTGTGGTTCCACATAGTCAAAGAACACCTGGCTTAGGTAAATTCGAGAGCGCGACTATCCCGAGGATAAGTGGCCAAAAGCTGAGATGGGAGCCCTGGGCCGTTCACCTCCCAAACCAGGTTGAGGTTGATTCTGTTCCCCAAGTTGCTGATCTGCAGGGAGTCTGCGAACCGGCTGCAGGTGGGAGGGCTGCAGCAGGGGTGTGTGTGCACAAGTCCTTGGGTGTCCACCTCAGGCTGACTTTCTAGAAAAAAACTGTAGACACAGACAAAACTGTAGACACAGACCAGGCAGCGGCGGGGCCACCGCCCACCCAGCCTAGGACGCCCCAGCGCGGAGCGGCCATGGCTCCGCCCCCCAGCCTAGCGACGCCCCAGCGCCCAGCGAGCGGCTGGTGCTCTGTGAACTCCGCTCACGCCATGACAGGGAAGCGAGGTTTTCTTCAGTGTCCTGTGGCTCCGTGAGTCTCCGCTTGTCAGTAAGCCTGCACGTCCATGACCTGCACGTCCTAGCACTTGAAAGACGTCCCACTCAGAGGGGGATTACAACTCCCTTCAGAAGTGACTTGCATTGGTGTGGCGGGTCCCCCACTGGGGGCTTTGTGGGTGCTGACTTTCTTTTTCCCTTTGTTTCCTTGGTTCGCTTGCTGTGCGGCGGGATGACCACCTGGTGCAAACTCTTTTCGCCCGGGGTGGTCATCCCGGGGGGTGAATTCCTGTATAGGTTTGTGGGGGCAGTGATTTAAATCGGGGTGTTCTCATGAGCATGTGTGACCTCCAGTCTCATGGCTTCCAGACTGCACCATCCCCCTCCAGGTCATTTCCACACCCTCCAGGCTGGTTTTTGTCTTTGCCGACCTACACGCCGGCGTTTCTGGGGCTGTTCAGCCGCCGGGGTGTCTGCGTTGTCTCGGGAGGCTCTTCTGGGGAGCTGCCCGGCTGTGTTCTTTTCGGGCCTTGGGGCTTGGGGTCCTCTCTCACTGGGACTTTCTCTGTCTCTGCATTTCTCACACACTGCCTGTACCCGCCACATCGCTGTGACTGTTCTTCCCAGCAGTGGAGAATTTCCACCTTCCTGTGCCCCCGTGGCTTTGAGGACCTTTCCTGTGCTCCTCTGGGCTTTGAGGACATTCTTCCAAGCCTCAAGACTAGAAAGAGCAATTCACCAGTTGTTCAGATGGGACGTTTTTCACTTCAATCTTTGCTCCATGTGAAATTTACCTGTGTCAGTGGGTCTCAGCTGGGAATGCGTCTGGTGTCCCTGTGTGGGGACATTCAGGACTGTCATGGGGGTGCTGCTAGCATGGAGTGGGCCAGGGGTCTGCGTAACACCCCACTGCACCCAGAGTGGTCCTCCACGGAACCTGGGCCTGATGTCACAGGCCGGGTGGGGCCCAGTTAAGAGGGGCACATTTATTCGGGCTGGCACCTCGAGGGCCTTGCAGCTTCTCTGTTACCAAGGAACCTTGTCTCTCCGGTAGGGATGCCCTAAGTGGGTAGTGACAGGCCTTCTGACCATCTTTTAGTTAATGGTCACTCGTTGCACACATACTGTGCTGGGCGCCGAGTTAGCTGGCTGCAGAAGTGCTCACACATGGCTCCCCCACCATACACGGGTGCTTTGGCACTCACCTTCTCCAGACCTGAGGGGATGAAGGCTGAGACCGTGGCCAGATCTCCCACTGCTGTGTGGCCATCTCTCCGGAGAGCTGGTGTATCTCCGAGCCAGGCCCACCCACCTTGACAGCAGAACTAGGGGTCTGGATCTCCAAACGCCAGAGTTGCTATGAATTTCTGCAGACTTGGAGCTAAAGATGACCCAGGAGTTGGGTGTTTGCAGGCATTTGCTTCTGGGGTGTTGGAGACACTTGTCAGAATGCTGCTGTTCTCGACGACAACCACTAGGGGGCAGCAAAGGTCCACGGGGCTGTCCAGCGGTGCCCAGCCGTAACAGGACGGAGTGGGGGCTGGGGTGGAGATGCTGGTTGGTGCATAGGTGCAGGTGGGCATGCCGGGGTCTTCAACCTGGCTGTCACCCTCCTTGGAGCCCTGTGAGCAACCTGTCTCCCTTCCTGGGGTGTCCAGTTCAGCACCAAGCCACCCAAGGAACCCTCAGCCTCCTCCTTGCAAACCCAGAGCCTCTGGGCTTGAAACCAGCATCTGCCAGTCAGCAGGGGTAGAAGGGAGGCAGAAAGCAAGCATGCACTCTATGATCTCGGGAGACTGGGGTGCCCCTGCCTCCCAAACCCTCCGTGGATCTGGCATGACCCAGAGGCCAGAGCAGAGGCTGCACCAGGGAAGCGAACGAGAATGGGGTGGGACCCAGGCTGTGCACCACCCCCACCCCCAAGCCAGGGTCTCGTTTCTGGGGGAGAGGCCCATCCCTGGAGCCACGACTGGGTGGCCCCCAGGTCAGCCCCTCCGGGGCCAACCTGAACGGCAGGCGCCCGCCCTTAGAGCCCCTCAGGCCTCTGGGTGTGGAGCATCAGAGCAGATGCCCGCTGCCTCCTTTCTGCTCTGCCTCCTCCGATGCGGACTCGGACTCGAGGACCGACCGTGTACACGGTGTGGAGCTTCCGGTGTGGGGGTGCTCTGGGGGCGGAGCTCCAGGGCTGGGAATTCCTCAGGTTACCCGGCCCTGTGGAGTGGCTCGCCAGCGCCCGGAAAACTGCGGTGGAAGGGCTTCCTGGGGATGCCTCTCGCCCAGCCCCAGCCCTTTCACCTGGGGGTCAGCTGAGCGCCTCTCCCGGGTCACCTTCCTCGGACCCGACATTGCCCCTGGGCTGAACGCACCTTCCAATCTGGCAGCTCGGAGCCCTGGAACGGAGCACAGCGGAACCCCACTTTGCATTACTGGGCTACAAGTGACTCTCGAGGGGAAGTCTGTCCTCAGGGGGCCTGGGCCATGTCTGGGGGCCTCTGAGCTGTCACCCTGCCGAGGGGGCTCCTCACTGCAGTCAGGGGCGATGCTCAGCACACCACAGTGCTGACAGCGGCCCCCAAGAGAGTGGGGGCAGAGGGGAGGGGCCGGCATTTCTCGGCCTCCTTGCTCCTGGCATTCAGCCTCCAAGCTCAGTGCGTTTTCGCTCCTCTGGCTCCTCGTTGTCCTGGGAGCTCCGCGCATTCCTGCCATCGCCATGCCCAGGCCTTTATCCCCAGAGGGTGGCTCTTGTGTGGGGGCTTGGGTGGGGCAAACTCCAACCCCAGCGTGCGAAGCACAGTGAGTTTCTTTTTCCCTGGTTGGTCACTCGCTTTAAATCTGCCCTGGGCATGTTGAAATTCACATTATTATCAGTTCTTTCCCTGGACAAGTTGTTCTCCTGAAAGAACTGCCAAAATATACAGCCACAGCCTTAACTGTTCTGCTCACAGAAGGTCAGTCTTCTGCTGCCTCCCCCCAGAAAGCACACACGGCACACGCGTGACTACAGCACCCTCTGGGTCCGCGACGCCCCACCCTCCCTGCAGCCCCCACCGGGAGCGGGCTCGCGGGCTGCTTTCCAGGGCCTGGCCGCCGCGCACTCGCCCACCCCAGGCTCCACCTGTCTCCAGGGCACACTGTGTTGCCTGGGGACATCTGTGGCTGTCACAGCTGGGGTCGCTCCTGGCAGAGGCCAGGGTGGCTGCTTAGTGTCCCACCGGCCCCGGACGACCCTCCCCAGGACTCGGTTCTGATGCCGGCAGTGCGGGGGAGCCTTGCATTAGCTGTGGGAACAGCTGAGTCGCCCCTCACGCTGCACAGTGCAGTAAATCCTGCTGTGCAGAAGGTATAACCAGGGGTCCCCCAGCATTCGGGGGTCACCTCCCCTGGCCTAACTAATGCAGGACCCCAGAACCGTAGGAAGTCAGGTGATGGTAGAATGCAGAGCCTCCTGGGGATCAGTGGGAACCCTAATCCAGGGGGTCACACCTGAGGTGACTGTACCCCCAGGGGACACTGGGGGACATCTGTGGCCATCACAACTGAGGGTGTCCCAGCATGCTGCAGTGCCCAGGACACCCCCACAACCTGTGGTTCCAGGTGCCCATAGTGCTGAGGGGGGACCCTGCTCCCCAAGATCCTTGCTCCAAGGTGAACTCAGTATTTTCCCCATTCTCTACT